GGTAAAAACACAAAGATTTAAACTTTAGAATGTTACCTGTTCACATTCTGCACAGCAGCCCTGTGGATCACTGCACATGCGCCATGGGAGGCCGTGGGATTCTTTTTGGCCCTGAGAAAGCCAGGGTTTCGTGAGCTCTGCATCCAAGCAAGGCCACTGAACTCTCGGCCTTCTGCACCCTTCCCCTGGGGCTTGTGGGAGCGGCTGGATCCCTGCAGCTGCTGTGGGGCCAGGGAAGCCAGGAGCCCTGCCTGGGACATCACTCCTCCCCTGCTGTGGCACCATGGGGGACCTGCCAGCAGTGTAAACCAGACTACAGGGCAAGCATGCAGAGGTCCCGTTGCCTTAGGAAAGCCAGGCTCCGGGCATGTTTCTAAGCCCCCTCCCCGTCTTTGAGTAGTGAACCATGCCAGTCTTGCTTTCTCTTTGCCTTCTTCATCCTAACTGTCCCAAGACCCCCAGCGCAGCCCTGCCACCCCTTGTTCTCCCTTCCTGCCCAGGATGCCCTAGAGAAACCAGGATCGACTCCCCCACGCCTGCTTCTTGCAGAAATTTAGAGGGATTTAGAAACTCCGCTCTGCTGATCTGGTTGAGATTCAGACTTGCCCCAGCAGGATCTGCACGGGGCCTCCATGGCAGAACTCTGCTGACTGCTGTGGGTGGAGCTCCCAGGGGCTACAGGATTGAGCAAGGCAATAGATCTGCAGTCTCTCATTTACACACGCCTTTAATAATATTTATGGTGGCTTACTGAGTGCCAGGCACTAGGTTAGCATTTAAACACCACTTTACATTTAGAAAATAACAGTTTTAAAATATAATTGACATACCATACAATTCACTCTTGTAAAGCATATACTCACAGCTTTTAGGATCTTCAGGGTACTCCAGCGCCTCCAAGTAACTGGAATGCGCTCATCAGCCCAGAAAGCCCAAACCCGCTTAGCAGTTCCAGTCCCCCTTCCCCATGGTTAATGGCAACCACCAATTTATGTTGTTTCTATGGATTTTTCTATTTGTCTATTGTAGGTATTTCATATAAATAGAATCATACACTATGCAGCCTTTTATGACTACATAGTGAGCTCCTTTCATTTAGATGTTTTCAATATGTTTTTTACCATCCTTCCTTCCTTCTTTCCTTCCTTCCTGTTTTCTTTTCTTTTCTTTTTCCAGTACTGGGGTTTGAACTCAGGGCCTCAAGCTTGTTAAGCAAGTGTTCTATCACTTGAGTCACACCCCCAGTCCTCTTTATTTCTTTTTATTGCCCAATGATACCCTATTTTATGGAGATAGCATATTTTATCTATCAATGCATTAGTTATTGGACATTTGGTTACTTCCACTTTGGGATTATTGTGAATAGCGCTGCTGTGAGCATTCTCAAGGGTTTTGTGCGGATATATACAAAGGAGTGCAATTGTGTGGTCATATGGTACTTTGCTTCCCATTTTGAGGGCTGGCAAACTTGTCCAGGTAGATGTACCATTTCACATCCCCCCAGCAGCGTATGAGGGTCCCATACACTGTGCGTCTGGGCTGTGAAGCGGTATCTCATTGTAGTTTTGACTTGCATCGATCTCCCTGGAAGTTAGTCACATTGAACATCACTTGGCATTCGTGTATCTTTGGAGAAACGTCTGTTCAGATCCTTTATCCATTGAGTTAGCTTATTTGTCTTTTATTGTTAATTTGTAAGTGTTCTTTACATCTCCTAGATATGATTTCTTTTTCAGTGCCTATTATTGGATGTTAAGAGACGTCTAAGTCAAAGTCAGGGTGGGAGTTCCAGTTTTAAGACTCTGTAGAGTTCATTGCAAGGTGACAGAAACCTTGCAAAGAATGTATCCTATCCTGCGCAGACCCTAGAGGGGAAGGGTGTAGAACTGTCCTTCCCTTCATGTCTCCCCTACCCCCACCCCAGCTTGATCACTGCTCAGTTAACCCTTCTGAAAATCCTTGTGAAATAGGAGTAAGGGAGTACTGTGGGCTGGAAGGGGAGGGATGCAGTTGGTAAGTACACTGAAGGCAGAATCACATGGGGGACTTTTCTTTCTTTTTGTAAAGAGTATAGTCTTTTATTTCTTGAGCAAATGAGATGGTACACAAAAAAGCATTTTGGAATTGTAAAGGGATATGCAGATGTAAGGTGACATTCTTATTGCTACTGTTGTTATTCGTAGGAACCAATGAAAATCCTATGTAAGATGAAATCACAGAACCTGTGGGGGTGGAGTGGGGAGTGGGGCAGGGGATGGGTTGAGAGGATGAAAGCTAAAGGAGAGAGGGAGCAGAATTGGCAAGCCTTGGTTGTGAGTGTGTGTGTGTGTGTGTGTGTGTGTGTGTGTGTGTGAGAAAGAGAGAGAGAGGAGAAGGGAGATCTTTGTAATTTCTGGCACATTCCTTTAACCCCTGTAAAATTATTTACTTAATATTTTTCTTTAAATGGGCTCCTATTTCTCTTTATTAAAGAAAACTTTATATCACAGTTATAAATGACAAACCTGCATCGTTTTCAGAAGGGAAGTTACTCTAGAAAACAAATACAAAAACCACAGTGTTAATTCAACTCTAGCGTGGATCACTGCCCAGGTCTTCTCAGCCTGGCTCACGACTATCATTCAGTTCTCTGCTCCAGTGACACCTCTCCACTCCCACCCCCACCCCTGCCACTCCAGGGCCAGCCTGTAGTTGGTCCTTGCTCTCTGCCTCTCACAGCACTATGGCTACCTAAAGGCTGAGGGCTCACATTCCCAGAGTGTGTCTGGCTCTGGAGGACACAGGGCATTATCTGTCTTACTCCCTGGTCTCCTGCCTTGCTCAGTGAGTAGGGGCTGAGTCAGGAGCTGAAAGCTCTGAGCCCCAGGGCAGTTCTCTCCTTTTTTGTTTTGTTTTCCTTTTAGCAAGTGTCAGTTGGGTGTTAAAGACATAACAGGCTGATGCCAAGCTGCTACTTGTGCCTCATGCAATCCTGTAATCAGGAGGACAGAGCAAGACTGGAAAAGGAGGCTGCTTCTGGGGTGTGGTTCTGAAGATCCCTGGCTTCCTTGGGTATTCTACCCCACAATTCTGGACTCCCCAGATCTGCCTATCCCCAGACCATCATTTAAACTCACCAGATGCCGAAGAGTGAAGGAGTGAGGATCTCCTACTGTCTGCTGCGCCTGCCTGTGAGCATGAATGAGCCTGGCTAAGGAGCTGAACCTGGCAGGTAGAAGCACAAGGGTTTAGCAGATGGGATTTAATAATTGACTGTGCCTGTTGAAGTCCTACCCTTCCTTTCAGGCTCAATGATTAGGTAAACGTGTTTTTGCCGGGGATGGCACTGGAGTTTAAACTCAGGGCCTCATTTTTGCTAAGCAGGCATTCTACCACTTGAACCACTCCACCAGCCCCAGGCCCAACTTTTAAAAGGAATAATAGGCACTAGTGGCTCACACCTGTAATCCTAGCTACTTGGGAGGCTGAGATAGGAAGGATCGTGGTTTGAGGCTAGCCTGAGCAAATAGTTTTCAAGATCCCATCTCTAAAATAGCCAGAGCAAAAAAAAAGGGCTGGAGGTGTGGCTCAGGTGTTAGGGTGCCTGCTTTGCAAGCTTGAGGACTTGAGTTCAAACCCCAGTCCCACCAAAAAACAAAACAACAAAAAGTAATATTATACACTCAATAGGTACCAGGTATCTTGCTAAATAAGAGCTTTCCCTACATTATTTTATTTTATCCTTGTAAAAATGATAAAGTAGGGATTTATTAGTCCCATTTTGCAGACGGGGGAACTAGGCTTGGAGTAGATTGCTTGGGGTGATGTTGCCAGGCCTTAACATTTCAAAGCCCGTGCTTCAACCACCACATACGTCAGTCACTTTAGTGCCACTGTCTATGTGAAGACTTCCTGCCCAGCAGTCTCTTCTTCTCTTCTCATAACCTCTGTACTGTTACCTCTGATGACATTGGCCTCCACCTCCTGGGATGTACATGTATGTGACGTGTGCATGTTGTGTGTGTGTGTGTGTGTGTGTGTGTGTGTGTGTGTGTGTAGCATAGATTTCTTGATGGATGAGGGCTCCAGTTTTCTTCTGCCAGCCTCTTCTGTCTCTGTGGAGGATGGATAAGGAAAAGGTGTGTGTTTGCATTTGCAGAGAATTGCATCAGGAAGCCTGGGGACTTGTTCCTAGGAAAGCCTGTGGAAGGATATATCCCAGGTCAAGGTGGACATATAGAGCACCCTAGAGAGGAGTGGGACAGTTTCTGCAGGACCCTCCCCCCCACAAACTGGGCTGGACACCTCTGTCTTTGAAGATTGACTGTCTGTCTTGCTCTCCCCTACTCTCCATACCCCAGGAGGTCTGGGGGAGAGGGTGATGTGATGCCATTGGGCAGGGCTGGTGACAGCTCTGTTAGGAGGCCCAGGTCCAGCACTATCCTGAGTGGTTTCCTACCCCTGACTTCAACTCTGTGTGAAACCCTTTTATTAGAAACGCCATCTGAATTTGAATGTGCCCTCTGTTCCCTCAAAGCCCCTGGCTGATGGCATGGGAGGCCCTATTCTGTGTTTTTTAGCTCCCTCCCGAGGTCAGGGTCTACACTTACTCATCACTATATCTTATGCCCCACAAAATGCTTGGGACCTGGTTCTAGCACTTACTTAGCACTCACTATGTGCTGGGCATTGCTATCAACATTAACTCAGTGAATCCCCACAGCACTCCTACAGTTATCATTCTTATGCTACAGATGAGAACACAAAGACACATGGTTGAAGAACTTGCCCCAAGTCCCTGGTCATTGTGTGGCAGACCTGGGATTCGAACCCAGGCAGTGTGACTTCTGAGCCAACAGTGCGCCTCTAAAGACTGCTCTTGGGCTGCCTTTCTGTTTGTTGTTTTGGGGGTGATGTCTCTTAGCCTGGGGAACAAAAAGAACCTGTTTCTTTGCCAACTCAGGGGCAGAAGGTGGAATGTGGTCACCATGGCAACTGGATCAACTGGCTGTACCAGCTGGTGAGTCGTTGGGACCGAGGATCTGGGGCTGGTACAAAGAAGGCATGGGGCAGTGTTTGAGGTACCAGATGCACTGGGAGGACCTGGAAGAGTACCAGGTAGGTAGGTCAGGCTGGAGATGCTGAGCAGAGTTGGGAGCTTCTTGGGGCAGGTAGAATGAAGGCAAGAATTCTTGCCTGATGCTCTAGAGTTTACCAGGCAGCCCAAGTGTGTCTTTTGCTTTGGCTAAACATCCATGTGACCCTGACCAGCTTCCCTCCCGCCACATCTCCTGCACCAGAGCTCGGGTCTTGTCTCTGATCTCATCTCTGTTCTTCTCTGCCTCCCCTCCATGGCACAGGGAGGTGGACAAAACACTGCCTCCTCCTCTGCCCTGCTTTAGGCATCCACTACCTCTGTTTGGGGTGCCTCTGTCTCCTCATTTGTGGGATGATTGTATTCTCTGCCCCGAAGCTCCCCATTCCCCAAGGAGCCAGGGTGGAACTGGATTGAGTGACAAGTCATCTCTTTGATTTGTTGCAGGCCCTGACCTTCCTGACCAGAGATGAAATTCTGTGGTGAGTAGAGGCCCTGGTTTCCCTTTCCCTCCCCCTCAACTGTGTTCTTCCTTGTTGTAGCCTCCGTCTGGCCCCTGCTCAGAGCCACATAGCCCTGGGGCTACAACTGGGACAGCAGCCCCGAGGGCCCCCTTGGAATGGAAGAAGTCATCAGGCTTGGGCTGTGATACCTTTACTGCCACCCAAGGCAGGATTTCTTCATAGTGTCATATAGCTGGCAAGGCTTCTTTGGACCATGTGGAAAACAAGGAACAGCTTAGGAGCCATAAGGCTAAAGCTCATTTTGGCCATCCACTGACTGGGGGAACTTGGATTCATCATTGACACTGAGCCTGTCCACTCTCCCTGCCCTCACCCCGCCTTCCCAAGCCTCTCTCCAGGGCCTGTATGTGCCAGACACTGTGGAGGCAGTGGTCATGGATGAGTGACCCCAGGCCCTGTTCTCACCCAGGTCCTTGCCCAGTGGTGAAGGCTCCTGGCCAAAGACAATTTTTGCCATCCAGCATGGGATGTCACAAGTGCCCCAAATGGGACTGTGGAAAGGGTGCGTGGAATGATAGGTGTGGACATGCTTGGCCTTCCTAGTACTCAGGAAACCTGGCAGGTAAATAGAGGAGTTCACCAGAAGATTTGGGGGAGATGGCAGTGAGGAGACCATTTAGACCCACTGATCTGGGTCCCTCTCCTTCCCTGTTGTCTCTGCTTGAACTAGCCTCCCCCCATACACACTACATCCAGCCTGGAGGCCATAAGCATAAGACTCTCTAGGTACTGGGTGGTCAGATAATGGAGCTACAGAGAACAGGGATCCTGGGGCTGTATTTTACTTTTAAAAATAATATAGAAAAATATGCAAAACCCCAAGTGACCCGTCTCCTACTACCCATGTAACCCTTTTGATATTTTCTAGAAAGTAACACATGAAATAATATGTGAGTGTGCCTAAAGAGTTCAAATAGGATACAAGTTCCAAATGAAGGGCGCATGCCTCCACTCTGCCCTCCCAGCCCTCCATGACTCAGCCTCTGGCCACTGTCAGTTTATCACCCAGGCTCCCAGAAGAATTTCCCCCACAGTCCCTTGCACATCCTCTACCCTGCACCCCTTGCACCCTGCTTATGCTGTTCTGCACTATTTTCTTTCTTTTTAAAGTTTCCTCTTGGCTAGTTTTACACAAAGCACGTAAAGATCTTCCTCATTCTTTTTAATGACTATGGATCATTTGCTTGTGTGGATGAGCCATAATTCATTACCAACCCTTGGTTATAGATACTTAAGTTGTTTATGGTTTTCACTTTTACATATGATGCTATATTAAACATTTATGTGCAAAATGCTTATCTGACAGATGAGAGTAAATCCCTTGGGGAAATTCCTAACCACAGAACTGCTGGGCAAGAGGGTCATGAGTTCAAGGCTAGCCTGGGCTACATAGAAATGTCCAGGCTAGCATGGGCTACTTAGAGAGACCCTGTCTCAAACAAATAAAAAAATTTGGGTGTACTGGCTCATGCTTATAATTCCAGCAATATGGAAGGCAGAGGTAGGAGGATCACAGGCAGAGACTGGCCCAGGCAAAAGCAGACCCTATTTGAAAAATAGCTGGAGCAAAAAACAGCTGGAAGTGTGCCTCAAGTAGAACACAGCTGCCTAGCAAGCATGAGGCCCTGTGTTAAAAAAAAGAAGAAAGAAAGAAAGGAGGGAAGGAAGAAAGAAAGAAAGAAGGAGAAAAAGAAAGAAAGAAACCACAAGCAAGCAAACAAAACTGCTGGACAAAGGGCAGATACATTTAAAAGCTGCTGGGTGTAGGCTGGTGGAATGACTCAAATAGTAGAGTACATGACTATCAAGTGTGAAGCGCTGAGTTCAAACCCCAGTACTGCGTGGTGGTGGTGGTTGTGGGGAACAAATACAATATAAAAGCTGATAGGTGTGACGAGATTGTCCTTAGAGGGGTTGAACCAGTTTGTCCTTTAGGCAATGGATTATGGCCAGGCTGCTCCTCTCGCCACTTTTGAATGGTATCTTTGGATCCCAGGGTTCCTCATATGTGCCAGGAGCAAGTATGGTAGTGGTGACAGTGGTGGTGAGGTTTGGAGGGGAGAGAGGAGAACGGGAGGAGGTTGGGTTTTCTCTTGTAAACATGCCCCCCACCCCATGGGAGTACCGTTTTCCTGTGTTCTGTACTGGCCTCTGAGAATGAAGAGGCTATCCTTAGGGACTCCTCTTTCTGAGCCGCCCACCCAGGCCTGGAGGTGAACACTGTTTGGATCCCAGGTCCAGCCTGTTTCCACCCCTGTTGAAGGTACCAGCTGGATCTGTCCAGGTGCTGTCAGGGAGAGCTCATCTTCAGTTCAGATCTTCCCAACCAGCTTCTCTGGAAACTTCCCAACTCACCCCTTCCTCTGACAGCTTCCTTACTGAATCGAGGGGCCCACACCTGGCCCTGGGTAGTTCCTGCCCAGGAAGATCCCAATATTTGGGAATAGGATGCATCCATCCTGTGCTGGGGATGGGGCTGGGTGCCCTGTGTGAGGAAGGCAGAACAGCTCAACTCCTACTCCACTTCTGTGTCTCCAAATTGCACACCTTCAAGTAAGACAGATGAGACAAGCATGGGTGTGTGGGGGGAAATACCAGAGAAAGCTCTGCTGCTTCCAATCGAAGTGAGATTCCAGACTCAGGAGACCTTGGTCTGGGGACTAGCTGAGGATGTAGAACAGCTGTCAGGAGCTCTGAGGAATGGATGAGGACCTGTGAAGACTGGAAATGCTTAAATGTTCTGGTTCAAAATGGGAATGACACTTAGACCTTTCCCATTCTATCTTGCATCACGAGGGCAAGGGATCATCAATGCTAATACATCCATCAGTGGGATTCTGACCTTAAAGAGAAAAAAGAGGAGCCTGATGTTTGGTATGGTGTCAGCTCCAAGGTAAATGAAGAAAGCAAAATGCTGGGAACTTTTAGTTAACGTGGACAACACAGCATCTTCTGTCTCTGTTTCTACTCCCAAAAGCAGAGTAAAGAAATATTTATAAAAAAAGAAAAAAAAAACCCATAAGGACAAAAAGAACACAAGATGACAGTAAACTGGGCACCAGTGGCTCACACCTGTAATCCTAGCTACTCAGGAGGGAGAGATCTGGAGGCTGGCAGTTCAAAACCAACCCTGGGCAAATAGTTCACAAGACCCTATCTTGAAAAACTCACCACTTAAAAGGGCTGGTAAGTGGCTCAAGGTGTAGACCCTGAGTTCAAACTCCAGTACTGAAAAAAAAGAAAAGCAAACAAGCTGGGACGTGCACAGCAGATAACATGAGTAGACTTAACCGAACAGAAAACTGAAAGAAAATTGCCTGCAGGGGTTGGGGTGATGGAATGAAGAACCCGAGAAAGTCCTAGAACCTCGGAATGCCAGGGTGCAGGGTCAGGTGAAACAGAAATTTAGATTGAAAGTCTTGTGTGGTTCCTTTTCTTGTCCTTTCGATCCACTCAGCAGTCTTGCAGCACCCCAACTGCCCAGTGGAAGACAAGAGCTCACCATCTGAAGAGAGCTGGAGCCAGAGTGGCTGCTGACTCAGGGCGACCAGGCCCAGTAAAGAGCAGGGGTACCTTCCGCTCAGCCTTCAGAGCTGCACTGTAGCTGACTTGAATGCTAAGGGAGTCCAGTAATAGAGAAAGGAATAGAAGAGTCTCCTCTCATATACATACACACACACCCATTTTTCAAGTCATCCTGACATCATGAGAAGGCCCTGTAGAAGGCTTCTGTAGAGAAAAAAGTAGATTATATTTAGTGAACCCTGAGTCAGAATAGCTTTGGACTAATGTTGGAAGACAGTGGCTGCACACCTTCAAAATTCAAAGGAAAAGCTTTCAACGTGGAATCAAGTCCGAGCTAAACTATTAATCAATAGTGAAGGTGGAAAAACAATATTTTCTGACAGGTAAATTAGAAAAAAAAAGTCTTATGGACTTTTCTTTCTTTTTTTTTCTTTTCTCCTCTTATTTTATCATTTTCTACATTAACTTACATGTGTATACATTGTTTGTGCCACCTCCTCTCCCCCCCTCTCCATTATGGACTTTACTTTGAGAAACCTTTTGGAGGACGTGCTCCATTAAAACTAGTGAGTAAACCAAAAAGAAGATACAGGATCCAGGAAGCAAAGAATTTCAACATAGAGGAGGGTACAATGACTTACAAAGATAACCTTGAAAGGGAGCCAAGTATGCCAATGGTCAGTCAGCAGGGCTGGAAAGCAACCATCCAGACCAGAATCACAAGTAGAGCCTCCAAGGAAACAAAATGAACCCATAGATCTTAACAGTATCATCATATTAAAAGAACTTCTAGTTCTGCAGAAAGTCTGGAGATGAAATAATGAGACCTAAGTAGAAGAAAACAAAGTGACTATTAACTCTGGGAAAAACAAAGAGCTTAGCAAGAAAGAAAATGTAATCACATTACAGTAGGGAACTCAGCTGTGATCAATGTTTGAATGATATTTATACATATGTATATATAATGGTAATAATGTACACTGAATATTAATTAATTCATGCAAATTGTTTTATATTGGGAGGTTGGAGAAAGGACAAGTATATAAAGAGAAATAAATCCTCTTTTTTGTAAGAGGATATCATAAGATAATGTCTACAATGAAAAAGTGTTGACAAAAGGCAGTATCAGCCCAGTATTTAGAAATGTTATATAAATATTAAGTAAAAAAAAAAAAGAGAAATTGCAAGATGTTTATAAAATGCTGCCTCTGGAGATCAGAGGTAGAAGAGGTGGTGTGGGGTACAGGTGTTAGTCATTTAATTGTGCTTGTGTTTTTAACCTGTTTAACTACTGCTTCGATAAACTAGACTGATACGTACAGGGTGCTGCTGCTTTCACGAAATAAGTGGCTGTACACTCACACACAGGCGGCTCTCTCTGGAAGGGCAATACACTGAAAATAGGTCAGCTTCTTGGAGGTGACCTGGGTACT